CCGCCGCTTCCGGTGGCGTCAGCCTAGTTCACAGCAACCTCAATCTCCGGGCTCAGCGATCCTCCTGCCTCAGCCTCCAGAGTAGCGGGTACAGGCATGCGCCAACATGCCCGGCTAATTTTTGTATATATATTTTAGTTGGTCAATTAATTTATTTCTATTTTTGGTAGAGACGGGGTCTCGCTCAGGCTGGTTTCGAACTCCTGACCTTGAGCAATCCGCCCGCCTCGGCCTCCCAAAGTGCTAGGATTACAGGCGTGAGCCACCACGCCCGGCTTCCTCCACAGTTTTGTCAATACTTGGTATAGCCAGTCTTTTAAATTTTTGTTAGTTATTCTAAAGTTTGTGGTGCTATATTACTGCAGCTTTAATTTGCATTTCCCTAATGACTAATGATGTTGAGCATCTTTTTGTGTGCTAATATGCCATTTGTATAACTCTTACGGTAAAGTGTCTACACAAATATTTTAGCCATTTTTATTTTTTATTTAAAAATTGATTAAATAATTTTAAACTGACAAATAAAAAGTATATATATTTATGATATATACAATGTTTTAAAATATGCATATATTGTCAAATGGCCACATAGAGCCAATCAACATATGGATAGCTAAACAGAACATCAGGTAAGAAGGGATTTCTTTATTTAAAATGGTAATCAAAAGAAAGTTGGATTTTCTTTTTTTTTTTTTGAGACAAGAGTCTCACTCTGGTGCCTGGTCTAGAGTACCATGGCATCAGCCTAGCTCACAGCAACCTCGAACCCCTGGGCTTAAGCAATCCTGCTGCCTCAGCCTCCCAAGTTGCTGGGACTACTGGCATGTGCCACCATGCCTGGCTAGCTTTTTCCTATATATTTTTAGTTGGCCAGTGAATTTTTTTCCTTTTTTTTTTTTTTTTTTTTATTTAAGGTAATGGCATTTTTCCATTTTTAATAGAGACAGGAGTCTCGCTCTTGCTCAGGCTGGTTTTGAACTCCAAGCTCAAACAATCCTCCCACCTCAGCCTCCCAGAGTGCTAGGATTACAGGTGTGAGCCACCTCGCCCGGGCTGGATATTTTTTTTTAAAGAAAGGATTTCTTAAAGCAAAGCAGAAAGAAGTTATAAACAATCAAAACAATGTAACATGATAGTATACAATGAAACAAATCTGCCAAATAAGCATGAAAACCAGTGAAAAAGATCTAGAACATTCATTTTTAAATTTATGTAGTCCTTCAGTTCAATGGAGTTTGTTTTGGGAGAAAAGGGGATGGATGAGGTGTGGGGGGAGAAATACAGTACACACATACATGGGTAAAGACAAAACACAGGTGCCACATTGTGATTCATTTGTTATTCTTAATATGGGTCAAAGTAAATACAGACTGTTATACTCATTCAGTAACGGGTTTCACAACTAAGAAGAATCTGGAGAATGTGTAAAGATGAATAGAGAGATTAGGGTGAGAATCCCAAGAGAAAAGGTAATGTGTATGAATTTTTAAGGAAAATCTAGTGACATCAAAGGACCTATTCTTTTATAATCTACTGAGATTAAACTAAAAGACAAGGGTGTTTACAATAAACAAGCATCAAAAATGGTGAGAGCTGTTAAAGGCAAAATAGATTATTTCAAGAGACCAAAGATTATTGCTACGTGTTCCCAAAGTTCACGTTCTGGAGACATGCAGCAACAATATTGAGGTGGGACCTTTAAGGGGTGATTGGGTCAAGAAGTTTCTGCCTTATGCTGTTATCAAGGGAGTGGGTTAGCTATTTTTTTGAGTAGGTTCCTGATAAAAGAATGAGTTCAGCTCCTTCTGCTCTCTCATGAGTGCTCTTCTGCCCTTCCACCTTCTACCAGTGGATGATGCAGCAAGAAGGCCCTCACCAGATGCAGGCCCTTTGACCTTGGACTTTCCAGCCTCCAAAACAACGAGAAATAAATCTCTATTCTTTATAATTCACCCAGTCTCAGGCATTCTGTTATAGCAGCATAAATCAGATTAAGACAACTGTCTCTCTTTTTTTTTTTTTTGAGACAGAGTCTCACTTTGTTGCCCAGGCTAGAGTGAGTGCCGTGGCGTCAGCCTAGCTCACAGCAACCTCAAACTCCTGGGCTCAAGCGATCCTCCTGCCTCAGCCTCCTGAGTAGCTGGGACTACAGGCATGCGCCACCATGCCCGGCTAATTTTTTGTATATATATTTTTAGTTGGTCAATTAATTTCTATTTTTAGTAGATACAGGGTCTTGCTCAGGCTGGTTTTGAACTCCTGACCTTGAGCAATCCACCCGCCTTGGCCTCCCAGAGTGCTAAGATTATAGGCGTGAGCCACCATGCCCAGCCGACAACTGTCTCTTGAACTATGTTTGAAAAGATCTACATCTGTTTAGGAAACGTAGGATGTGATTCTGTCCAAATCTGAGGGACTTTCAAGCTTTCTTCTAAGATGACGCTATGATTTTATGGCCTAATGACTGCTCCAACTACTATTACCAAACAGTAATGTGCTCACAAGCATGGTAATACTAAACAGCTATGTGTTGTTTACTACCACTGTGGTAGATACATTATCAACATCATTTAACCTTTCTGAAAATCCTGACATTTAGGTAACATTATCCCATTTTATAGATGCAAAATGATGGTCAGCAAGATTAAGTAATATATGCCCAAGGTTACTGGTTATGCAGTAACCAGTAAATACAACTGGTTTTTGCCCTTGGTTCTGGCCACAGAGCTTTAAAAGTCCTTAGAATTTTCAGAGTGACAAGAGTGTCTTTGTTGTGGTAATGAGATGACTTAAGATGAGTCCACAAATAACTTCAGCCTGGGGACTGGTCACCAGAAAAACCAAGCACGTGATTAGAGAGCTGTAACTTCGAGCTTCCCAGCTGGTAAACACACTGATATGCCAGGAGGGTGACAAGCTCTGATTCGGCAGGGGAAGTTCTGTGCTCTTATGATAAAACTGTAACCGTTAAATATAGCACTTTCCTGAGTTCTATGAGTTGTTCTAGCCAATTATCAAACCTGAGGGGGTCACAGAAATCCCCAAATTTGCACTGGGCTGGTCAGAAGTGTGTGTGTCCTGGGGCCACCACTTGCCGCTGGTATCTCATGTGCAGGCAGTCTTGTAGAGCACTGACCCATTAATTGGTTAGCTCGATGTAAGCATGCTCCAGCATGCTCAGCACCAGAATTCATTATCGCATACCCAGCTGGGGCTGTAGCAGAACAGTTACTAATATAATCAAGTGCTGTGGACAGGACTCAAACCCAGTCATGAGTCCAAAGACAGTATTTCATTATTACCATAGTCAACCTATAAACAACAAAAACTTTCATACTTTTTTATTATAAAATGATATATAATTCATCAAGGTTTTAGTTTCCATAGTAACTTCCCACAGAAAATTATATCATCTTGACAACTGATTAACCCATTTAAGCAGCTAAAGTGTTGTATCACTGTAGCAGACACAGTTACCACTAGTATCACTGCAGGAGTGGTATGATAGAATGGCTCAGAGTATAAAGAAAGTTTAGGATCCAAAATAAAAGCCACCTTTAGCACTTTTGAAATTTTGAGCCCTTTTCTAAATCCCTCACAGAATGTTTAACCTTGAAGACAATTCTAAGTAATAGTTAAGGGCAGGTATGGGGCATGGCTCCAGCATAAAACTGTACAGCTCTATCTTTAATTTTCAGATTCAGAAGTCTCTGGTTCTTGTTCCTTACGAGCTTGAGAGAAACTGTTCTGGCAAGTGTTACAGCGATTGACCAGGGAGAGAGCCGTGCAGCACACACAGGGCGGGAGAATCAGCTTTTATTTCGCCAGCTGGGTTCAGAGGGGCACGCCACCAAATTCTGAGCCTCGCTTCCTTATTTCTCTCCAGTCTTAGACATTTCTTAGGTCACACACAAATAATCAACTATGAGCATGCAAAATGATCCAATTAACAGTGGGATTAGTAGGATCAGCCAAAAGCTTCACATGTATCCAATCAGCAGTGGATTTTGCCTCAGGGCCCCCAGGCGGGGGCTTTTCCCTATCAAAACCACAGGACATAAATTCTCCCCATTTGTGGTCAATTGTATGCTGCATGCAGGCCTGGCGTGGTGGCACACGCCTGTAATCCTAGCACTCTGGGAGGCCGAGGTAGGAGGACTGCTCGAGGTCAGGAGTTTGAAAACAGCCTGAGCGAGACCCTGTCTCTGCTAAAAATAGAAAGAAATTAATGGACCAACTAAAAATATATATACAAAAAAAAAAAAAAAATTAGCCAGGCATGGTGGTGCATGCCTGTAGTCCCAGCTACTCGGGAGGCTGAGGCAGGAGGATCACTTGAGCCCAGGAGTTTGAGGTTGCTGTGAGCTAGGCTGACGCCACGGCACTCACTCTAGCCTGGGCAACAAAGCGAGATTCTGTCTCAAAAAAGAAAAAAAAAAGTGTATGCTGCAGATAGATATTCTCTGCCAACAGACAACTTTTTCAGTACCAACACAGAGAATCAATCTCATGGGATCCAGGCAATAATACTATGCTTTTTTCTTTAGCTTATGCAAAATCTTCTAAGGCTTTATTTCAACTTCATGAATAAAAAACAGATTGCCCAAATTTAATCTTCCTTTACTAGGATGTATATAAATTATATTGCTTATAAATGCGGCAAGTTTTTAGATTCATCTGTGTTATATTCTTGTCTCTTACCTGGCCTGTTAGTGGCTGCCATAATAAAAACCTGTTGTCGTGTTTCCAGACCATCCATCTCCGTAAGTAGCTGATTCACCACCCGGACGCTTGCTCCTGTCTAAAAAGAAGTGAATCTGGTTTTGTTGGGTCATAACTGTCTGTTTTGTTCTTAGTTCTTGGTGTGCTCTTGGCTGAAGAATGACCAAACACACCAAAATCAAGGCAAGTGTGACACAAAGTTTATGGAGGAAGGACAAGATAGGTTTACAGAGCAAGAACAAGAGCAAGATACATTCCCCACATACAATGACAAATAGGTCCTGTGCCGTAACAGGGGTGTGGTGATGGTCGAGGGTTTTGTTTTAGGTATCTGGATTGGGCCCTCCTCATGGTTTAGAAGTCACCATTGAAATGACTTTGATGGACAGTTAGTGACATGATAATTTGCCTTAGATAACTCTAGGTCACTTACCAAATCCTATTGTACCTAGGCTGCCTGGCCAGCAGGTTAGAGACTGCCCCCATTCTTTTGCAGATTAGCAGGGGTTCCTCCTTCCCCCAGGTGTGGCGATTGCTCTGAACAGGATTAAGTCTGGGCAGCCACAAGGAAAGTCTCCCACTCTGGTCCCTAGCAGAGTCTCAGACTTCCCTTGCTATCCACCTAACAGTTTTATCAGCTCTCTCCCTTTTTTTTTTTATAAAAAGGCTGATCAAGTGAAGCAGTGGGAATGGAGAAGGAACAAAGGAATCTGTAACTGGTTGTGATCAATGAGTTGTAAACATCACTGCACTCGACCAACTTCATCAGCTCTCAATACAAATGAAAAAAAAAACACCACTTTTGCTTTTAATTTTTATTTATTTTTTGAGACAGAGTCTCGCTTTGTTGCCCTGGCTAGAGTGCCCTGGCTTCAGCCTAGCTCATAGCAACCTCAAACTCCTTGGGCTCAAACAATCCTGCTGCCTCAGCCTCCCGAGTAGCTGGTACCACAGGCATGTGCCACCATGCCTGGCTAATTTTTTTCTATGTATTTTTAGTTGGCCAATTAATTTCTTTCTATTTTTTAGTAGAGACGGGGTCTCGCTCTTGCTTAAGCTGGTTTTGAACTCCTGACCTTGAGCGCGTGAGCCTCCACGCCCGGCCCCAAACCACTTTTGTTCATAAAAATCATACATTTGCTAACTTAAATGACAGCTTTTTCCAAAGAGATAAGTTATTTTTTCAGGAGTCACTATATGCAGGCACCATGCAAAATGTGTTCTCATCTGCAGACCTTCTCAGCAATCTGTTATAATCCGAGGTCTAAATGAGGAAACTGAGGCTTAGAGAGGTTATTTGTTCACGGTCTTATTGCTAGATAAAGAAAGAGATAAAGAGATGAAACTCAATCTCAAGCCTAGCTGATCCCAAATCAGATGTTTCTGAGTTACTCAAAGATCTAACAGTCACAATAAACTTCCCACTAGGACGATCTAGACTCAGATTTTGAATTCCACATTCCCCAGTATATCAGAAGCTCCAGACTAGACTTTCTCAGTGTATTACACATAGGAGTACCTGGGACACTAAGGTGTTTTCTCTTTTCCTTGAAGCGAATAATACAAAGTACATCTACCGCAAGGCAATATGCAAGATAAAGGTTCAGGGAGTTGGTAACTAGAGGGATAAATCACTTAGAGAAGAAACAAAAAAATGTAAATGGAGGAAATTAGAAGAGTGGTGCTGTGGTTCTTCTGGTCATTAACTGCTTTTCTTGAACATGAATTTTATGTACAAAGGTGGTACGGGGTCTAACCAATTATTTCTCAAAACAAAAATATTCAGTGCTTCCTACTATCACTCAACAACGTAACACTAACAGAATCATAATTGAGACTCAAAAATATAAAAAAATAAGGCCGGGCGCAGTGGCTCACGCCTATAATCCTAGCACTCTGGAGGCCAAGAAGGGCAGATCGTTCGAGGGCAGGAGTTTGAAACCAGCCTGAGCAAGAGCAAGACCCCATCTCTACTATAAATAGAAATAAATTAATTGATCAACTAAAAATATGTATACAAAAAATTAGCCGAGCATGGTGGCGCATGCCTGTTGTCCCAGCTACTTGGGAGGCTGAGGCAGGAGGATCGCTTGAGCCCAGGAGATTTGAGGTTGCTGTGAGCTAGGACACATGGCACTTACTCTAGCCTGGGCAACAAAGCGAGACTCTGTCTCAAAAAAAAAAAAAAAAAAATTGTAACATTCTATATAATAAACAAAATGAAAGATCAGTGCTAAGGCTGGGAAAATATTATCAAAACACACAAAGGGCTAATTTTTAACACATAAAGAGTACCAATGAATAACTAGTTTTAAAAAAGAAGAACATTCAAACAGGTAATTTATAGAAGATGAAACACAAAATCACTGATGATGGTTCACCTCACTGGTAATCAAGGGTAGATACTAAAATGTCATATGTTTTGCCAATAAAACTGTCAAAAAATAAAAAGATGAGTAATATCCTTTATCTTATTTTTTTCTCATATACTTGGGGCTATTTGGAAGGGTATTACCCATTGTTGACAAAAGCATGGGAAATGGTTATTTTCCCACCATGTTGGTAGGTATATGTTCAACTGGTAGTTTTGTGAAGAATGATATACTATTATCTTTCAAAATCTAATATGTAGGCCGGGCGCGATAGTTCACGCCTGTAATCCTAGCACTCTGGGGGGCCGAGGCGGGTGGATTGCTCGAGGTCAGGAGTTCGAAACCAGCCTGAGCAAGAGTGAGACCCCATCTCTACCATAAATAGAAAGAAATTAATTGGCAAACTAATATGTATAGAAAAAATTAGCTGGGCATGGTGGCACATGCCTGTAGTCCCAGCCACTCGGGAGGCTGAGACAGAAGGATCACTTGAGCCCAGGAATGTGTTGTTGCTGTGAGCTAGGCTGACGCCACAGCACTCACTCTAGCCTGGGCAATAAAGTGATACTCTGTCTCAAAAAAAAACCAAAAAAAAACAGAAGTGTAAACTATACATATTTTTTAAGTTTATGAAAAAAGTTCCAGAATGATACACACTAAACACTAAACTATTAGCAGTATGGCAGTAACCTCCAAGAAGGGTAATAGGGAGGAGAATGGGAAGAAAGATTTTCACACTTTTTATGCTTGTTTTACTTGAATTTTTCACAAGCATGTATTCATATATGATTAGTACAATTTAAAAAGAATACACTCAAATTTACCAGCTGATATAGGGAGCTGCAAAATGATGAAAGGGCCGTAGACAAGTGAAGGGTAATTCATGGCAAAAGAGACAGGATTAAAAAGGAATAAAATCCAGAGCAAACCATGTCTCAACCAGCTGGATACATCAAAATGTAGTGCTTTGCTCTGGATCTCACATTAGATTTTGGAATCTGACTGGGGAACCTGCCTTAGCCATTGACATCACTATCAAAGATAACTCTGTAATAATAATTTTCTGTGATAGTACCAATGACTACTGGGATTAGGAAACAAAATTGCTATGATGTGAGTCACATTTATTTTTATTAGTCAATGAACTGTGTGACTTAAGTGTGGTTGACACAAGTGGTATTCAATGCAGATCAATTTTACACCTTCCCCAGATAGTAATGGTGTTAGGCCTTAAAGCTAATAACCTAACCCTAATTAGAGTTGTCTCAAGAACCCATTTAACTTGAGAATATTGTAGGATTACAAAGAAAGCTATTCAAAACTAGTATTATTTCTTTTCTTTCTTTTTATTTTTTTTTGAGACAGAGTCTCACTCTGTTGCCCCGACTAGAGTGCCGTGGCATCAGCCTAGCTCACAGCAAACTCAAATTCCTGGACTCAAGCAATCCTACTGCCTTAGCCTCCCGAATAGGTGAGACTACACGCATGCGCCACCATGCCCAGCCAATTTTTTCTATATATTTTTAGTTGGCCAATTAATTTCTTTCTATTTTTAGTAGAGACAGGGTCTCACTCTTGCTCAGGCTGGTTTTGAACTCCTGACCTCGAGCAATCCGCCTGCCTCGACCTACCAGAGTGCTAGGATTACAGGTGTGGGCCACCGCACCCAGCCCAAAAAACTAATATTATTTCTATTCCTAACTACTCCTCTGTGAGTCAGGATTACCTACATGCTGTGCACCTAAAATAATATACAGGAAAAAAATGGATACCTAGGCAGATACAGAATACAACTGTTATCTCTAAGGTCTGATTTCAAATTCTGTTAATAGGTTTCTTCATTCAAAGGGTCTCAATGGTCCAAAGGAATGATTTTATAAGAAGTACCTAGCTTGGAACTTACAAAAGGTTTATGGTGCTCAAAGAATCTGTAAACCACTACTCAATGATTATTTACCTCTCGGTCTGATCTTCGAGGACATAAAGCATCCACTTCATCAAAGAAAATCACACAGGGCGCTGAGTTCTTGGCTCTTTGAAAAACCTGTCTCACAGCACGTTCACTCTCACCAACATACTAAACATAAATAGAGAGGAAATAAAATGCAGAAAGTTCACCCTTGGGGTTTGGGCCAAAGTATAGCAAAAATAGTTTTATTTATTTATTTTTCTTTTTTTCAGACATAGTCTCACTCTGTTGCCAGGGCTAGAGTGCCGTGGCATCAGCATCGCTCGCAGCAACCTCAAACTCCTGGGCTCAGGTGATCCTCCTGCCTCAGCCTCCCAAGTAGCTGAGACTACAAGTATGTGCCACCATGTCCGGCTAATTTTTTCTATATATATATTTTTAGTTGGCCAATTAATTTCTTTCTATATTTTAGTAGAGACAGGGTCTCACTCTTGTTCAGGCTGGTTTTGAACTCTTTACCTTGAGTGATTCTCCCACCTCTGCCACCCAGAGTGCTAGAATTACAGGTGTGAGCCACTATGCCTGGCCGAAAAATAGTTTTAAATGAAATTTATGTGTCAGACTCCCAAAAGTATTTGGTTAAATCATATACAATTGCTGATATTTAATCATTTTTTACCTATAATAGTGAATTGTATAATAAACTTAATAAAATTCCACTTAATAAAATTAGTTATTATTTAAGATTATAAATATTATCATTTATAAAATGAAGATTAAGTGGGATGTAAGGTCTTCTCTAGCTCAAAAAAACCCCACAACTCTATTATATATTAGAATTGCTGTGCTAAGCCTTCTGTATATAAAATATCCAGCAGTGATTTTCACTAATTCAAACATATTTTAAATGCACACAAGTCAAATTACTGTCGCACTGTTATTTCTATACAAGTAATCTTGTTAAATAAAGGAAGAGTGATTTTGCCACACAGCACTAGAGGAGGCAGAGTCATAAGGGCTTACTGTATGTTAAAATCTCAATCAAAATATAAGACATTATGATCAGTCAACAGCAATTCAAGAGCAGCTATAAGATTAGGATGAGGTAATATGAACAGCTATAAGAAGTTATTCTTGTAAAATTTCAAATTAGTTGACTAAGTAGTTATTTTTTTTATAAAACTGCTAAATAAGAGTCCAGGGGGGAGGGGGGAATGGGCATTTATTGAAACCTTAAAATCTGTACCCCCATAATATGCCGAAATAAAAAATAAAATAAATAAAAACCTAAAAAAAAAGAAAGAAAGAAAGAAAGAAATGTGAGTGGGAGGGTCTCTGTAGAAAAAAAAAAAAGGGAATGAGGAACAGGTGACCAGACTATGGTCTGGTCATTGAAGGACATGTGGAGGACAGGGATCAAAGTGTCCTCATCAAGGTAGGAGAAAGGTCACCACCTGCATGTCCTCCCCAGGCCAGCAGCCATGGACTTATAGACATGTAAGTCAGACCCACATTAAAAAAAAAAAAAAGAGTCCAAACAACCTTTATAGTGCCAACTATTTAATTATGGCTCACGCCTGTAATCCTAGCACTCTGGAAGGCCGAGGTGAGGCGGGAGGATTGCTCGAGGTCAGGAGTTCAAAACCAGCCTGAGCAAGAGCGAGATCCCGTCTCTACTATAAATAGAAAAATTAATTGGCCAAGTAATATATATAGAAAAAAATTAGCTGGGCATGGTGGTGCATGCCTGTAATCCCAGCTACTCGGAGGCTGAGGCAGGAGGATCACTTGAGCCCAGGAGTTTGAGGTTGCCGTGAGCTAGGCTGACGCCATGGCACTAACTCTAGTCTGGGCAACAAAGCGAGACTCTGTCTCAAAAAAAAAAAAAAAAAAGAATACACCACAGATGACAGTGATTTAAGTATTATTTTCTCATTTGAATAGAACTTCCTTTGCCTCACATCCTTCCAGTATTTTTCTTTCAACTTTTGCTAATTCTGCTTCCCTGACTTGAACTGCTTTTCCAACCTATCTCCAAACATTTCTTCTTGCATTCCTTTTTTTTTTTTTTTTTGATACAGAGTCTCACTTTTTTGCCCAGGCTATAGTGAGTGCTGTGGCATCAGCCTAGCTCACAGCAAAGTCAAATTCCTGGGCTCAAGCGATCCTCCTGCCTCAGCCTCCCAAGTAGCTGGGACTACAGGCATGCGCCACCATGCTCGGCTAATTTTTTGTATACATATTTTTAGTTGATCAATTAATTTATTTCTATTTATAGTAGAGATGGGGTCTTGCTCTTGCTCTGGCTGGTCTCAAACTCTTTTTTTTTTTCTTTTTGAGACAGAGTCTAGCTTTGTTGCCCAGGCTAGAGTACCATGGCATCAGCCTAGCTCACAGCAACCTCAACGTTCCTGGGCTCAAACGATCCTGCTGCCTTAGCCTCCCGAGTAGCTGGGACTACAGGCACACGCTACCATGCCTGGCTAATTTTTTCTATACATATTAGTTGGCCAATTAATTTCTTTCTATTTATAGTAGAGACGGGGTCTCGCTCTTGCTCAGGCTGGTTTCAAACTCCTGACCTCGAACAATCTGCCCACCTCGGCCTCCCAGAGTGCTAGGATTATAGGTGTGAGCCACCTCACCGGCCTCTTCTTACATTCTAAAGGATGCTCCTCAACTTTCTTCCCATTACTCTCTTCTTTATTTATTTATTTATTTTTGAGACAGAGTCTCACTTTGTTGCCCAGGCTACAGTGAGTGCCGTGGCGTCAGCCTGGCTCACAGCAAACTCAATCTCCTGGGCTCAGCGATCCTACTGCCTCAGCCTCCCGAGTAGCTGGGACTACAGGCATGCACCACCATGCCTGGCTAATTTTTTGTATATATATTTTTAGTTGGTCAATTAATTTATTTCTATTTTTGGTAGAGACGGGGTCTCGCTCAGGCTGGTTTCGAACTCCTGACCTTGAGCAATCCGCCCGCCTCGGCCTCCCAAAGTGCTAGGATTACAGGCGTGAGCCACCACGCCCGGCCTTCTCTTCTTTGTTTTTAAAGCACTTTGTACTAGCTGGGCGCGGTGGCTCACACATGTAATCCTAGCACTATGGGTGGCCGAGGCGGGAGGATTGCTCGATGTGAGGAGGTCGAATCCAGCCTGAGCAAACCCCCCAAAAAAGCACTTTGTACTATTATAACATTTCAGCGCTTCTACTTTTACTATATTGTCTTATAAAGCTCTTAAAGCAAATATACTATTCAAATTTTTCTCTTATGCCATGCTGTACAGCATATATAGTAGTAGACTGATTGATTTTCCTGAAAAATTTAATAAAGTAAAAATTTTATTTGTAATGCTGAACCAAAATATTCAGTAGATATTTTTAAAGAAAATATATTAGTTGGTTGGGAGAAATAAAGTTTCAGATCGAAACAGAAAAGAACAATCAGTGACTCAGAGGAAACAATAACTGACACCTCACAGGGATGCTGAAGCATTATAGGTAAGAGTGCTAGACGAATATACGGCACAAAAGAAACACATTAAAATGTTAATAATTGTAATAAATTACTTCCATTTTTGCAGGTGTGAAAATTCAGGCTCAGACGTTAACGGGCTTGATTAAGAAGGCATTTATATACCCTACATAGTAGAACAGAGCAAAGCTAAACCTCCTCACTCCTACAGAGGTGATTTTACCAAAATACCACAATGGTTCAAAGATCTGAGAAAGATCTGAAATTCTGCATGACCATACTTTTCCCAGTCTAAAATAATCCTTAATGCCATAGCAACTTACCATATTTAGTAATTCGGGGCCCTTGACAGATATAAAATTTAGTCCAGACTCATTTGCTACTGCCTAGCAAGAGGGAAAAAAAGACACAAATAAGACAATATACAATAAAATAATAACAATAATTTGTAACAAGGCAACAACTTTTTGTGGTTTTAGCTCTGTTTCTTCTCCCTTTTTGTCTTTTATCTTTTTTTTTTTTTTTTGAGACAGAGTCTCACTCTGTTGCCTGAGCTAGAGTGCCGAGGCGTCAGCCTTGCTCACAGCAACCTCAGACTCCTGGATTCGAGCAATCCTTCTGCCTCAGCCTCCCGAGTAGCTGGGACTACAGGTGCTCGCCACCACACCAAGCTAATTTTTTGTTTCTGTTTTTAGTTGGCCAGCTAATTTTCTCCATTTTTAGTAGAGATGGGGGTCTCACTCTTGCTCAGGCTGGTCTTGAACTCCTGCCCTCAAGCAATCCTCCTGCGTCTGATCTCCCAGAATGCTAAGATTACAGGTGTGAGCCACCACACCCCACCTGTTTTCCCTTTTTGTAGTTGCCTCTTTTCTTTATTAGAAGGAACATAATCAAATGGGTAAAAGAAAAATCAAAAGAATAAATACTAAATTATAACTGTCTAAGAATTAGTAAAACAGACTATAAATCACATGGAAAGGACACAAAATATTTATATAAATATTTACTTATATAGACATGCTTATGTAAATATGTTTAGAGCCATAGCTTAGAATTCCAGTGAAAGCGTAGTCTCTGTACTCAAGAAATGCCTTCTATGATGACAGCAACCATCCATTCACTTACAAACCAAAAATCAAAACCATCAATATCAATCTTTACCAAGGGTCCACGTTGAGAAACACAGTTGTATGTGTAAAAGAGCCAAAATTATAATCTGAATACATAGATGAAACCTGAACACAATGTAATTTTTTTCACCACGATTGGTGGGTATCGTTATGAATCTTGCATTCAGAGTCAGAGTCTTTTTATTCCCACAATACATACTAGTTCTAGAAACTAAATACTTTTTACTATTTTCTTTTCTGATTGCTTCTTACCAACAATCCAATTTTCAGTATGTTGGCTTCAGTAATTACACCCCCTTACTTAATGCTATTTACAAACTTATTATGTGCTGGTGCTTAGAAAAATAGTATCTTATTGTTATCATGAGTAAACAAAACAACCAAGATTAGCCAAAAACATAATTTAATAACCAATGCTAGGTCACCAGGTTCTGACCTATAAGTGATTCCATAACTTTACTATAGGAAACACTTTGCCTCTGCCATTCAAGGACACTGTCTATTATTTCTGGGTTCCTGGGCATGTAGTCATGTACTCCCTTGGAGAACCTGATGAAAGTTGTGAACACTCTTCCCCAGAAACAATACACATACACACAGCATACTGCCTGGGCCCACAGATCCAGTGAAACTGTGAAGTCCATCCATGGATTCCCAGGTAAGAGACCATGCTCCAAAAGGTCAGATACCAAAAATCTTACTAAACAGAGTAGTATTAAATTGTTGGCAATTTGGTAGGGGGAAGAAGAGGGAAAATTAGAAACTATGGTGTTTTAACATGATCTACACATTTCAAATTAGCCAAGCTGCCTCCCTTCTGCTGTGAACAAGACTAAGCAAAGGCAGATGCAACTAATTAAAAAACAAACATGAGATCTGCACGAGAGGGAACTATATGCACCTGGCAAATTCATACACTGGCATGTAGAACCTTCTTTCTGACTATGTTTTTCCAAAACTGTTGTGAAAAAATGTAGATCAATGACTGTATTGTTCTCTCTCCTCCATACCCAGTTCCCTGAAAGGAATGCCATAAGTTTTACACATGGTACTACAGATATTTGATATTTACCAAGGAGTCACAAATTATTTGCTACTGTGGTACTTATTAAAAATGCCATTAATTTTAATTTCTTGTTTATAAGTAAGTAATTCAATATATTTTAAAAAGTTATAAGGGTTAAGTAAATAATATATGGAATATTATATGGACATTAAAAATGATTGCTAATATACTTTATAGGTAGGGAAGATGGTTCTAATAGGCGTGATTCCAAAAGGGAGAAAAAGCCAAAAAAAAGGTAAACTGATAAACATATTTCTAAATAAAATAGGTCTTTAGAACCTAGAGAAGTCTAGAAACCTAAAGGGGAAACAAAACAAAACAAATAACAGACCTTAACATATGAAGAGTAATTACAAATAAGAAAGAAAATCACATGTATGCCAAGAGAAAAACAGGTAAAGGATATGAAGACAATTCACAAAGAAAAATAGCCAGTAAACATATTTAAAAAATCCACTAGGCCGGGTGCAGTGGCTCACGCCTATAATCCTAGCACTCTGGGAGGCCGAGGTGGGCGGATCGCTCAACGTCAGGAGTTCGAAACCAGCTTGAGCAAAAGTGAGACCCCATCTCTACTAAAAATAGAAAGAAATTAATTGGCCAACTAAAAAAATATAGGTAGTCCCAGCTACTTGGGAGGCTGAGGCAGAAGGATCGCTTGAGCCTAGGAGTTTGAGGTTGCTTTGAGCTATGCTGACGCCAAGGAACTCTAGCCCAGGCAACAGAGTAAGACTCTGTCTCAAAATAAAAAGAAAAAAAAATTCCACTAGTAATTTTTCAAATGCAACTTAACATAAACTATAACATATTTACCTGTCAGGTTGTCAAACATTAAAAGCAATGATAATGGCTATCACTACTGTAGGGTGTGGGAAATGAATACTCATATCCCACTGACAGCAGTGAAAACTGATATAAACCTTTAGCAAGGCACTTTGTTTTAACACAGGGTAATTTCCATAAATTATAGAACATCTTTATGGTAGAACGTGTTATGCAGGCATTAAAAATATTGATGTCGGCCGGGCGAGGTGGCTCAGGCCTGTAATCCTAGCACTCTGGGAGACCGAGGCTGGAGGATTGCTCAAGGTCAGGAGCTTGAAACCAGCCTGAGCAAGAGCAGGACTCCGTCTCTACTAAAAATAGAAAGAAATTAATTGGCCAAATAAAAAAAAATACTGATGTTTGTCAATATAAATTGACATGTAAAGATGTCCAAGAAATAAAGCTAAGTGAGAAAAGCATGTTTAAAAACTTTATATTTGGCCGGGCGCTGTGGCTCACGCCTGTAATCCTAGCTCTTGGGAGGCCGAGGCGGGCGGATTGCTCAAGGTCAGGAGTTCGAAACCAGCCTGAGCAAGGGCGAGACCCGTCTCTAACTATAAAATAGAAAGAAATTAATTGGACAACTAATGTATATAGAAAAAAATTAGCCGGGGATCATGGCGCATGCCTGCGGTCCCAGCTACTCGGGAGGCTGAGGCAGAAGGATCACTCGAGCCCAGGAGTTTGAGGTTGCTGTGAGCTAGGCTGATGGCAGGGCACTCAATCTAGCCTGGGCAGAGCGAGACTCTGTCTCAAAAAAAAAAAAAAAAAAAAACTTTATATTTGTAGAAATGTGTGTTAAATTCATATATATCATTTTGATATGTATGCACAGAAAAATATCTAGAAAGACTGACAATAAAAGCAGTAGTAGGGGCCGGGCGTGGTGGCTCACGTCTGTAATCCTAGCACTCTCAGAGGCCGAGGCGGACGGATTGCTCAAGGTTAGGAGTTTGAAACCAGCCTGAGCAAGGGCGAGACCCGTCTCTAACTAAAAATAGAAAGAAATTAATTGGACAACTAATGTATATAGAAAAAAATTAGCCGGGGATCATGGCGCATGCCTGCGGTCCCAGCTACTTGGGAGGCTGAGGCAGTAGGATCGCTTGATCCCAGGAGTTGGAGGTTGATGTGAGCTAGGCTGACACCATGGCACTCTAGCCCGGGCGACAGAGTGAGACTCTTGCCCCACGGCACTCACTTAGCCTGGCAACAAAGTAGACTCTGTCTCAAAAAAAAAAGAAATTCGCTGGGGCTTATTTTATGGGTAGGTCTTATTTTCGGGGAAACATGGTACATAGTTGTAGTTTGCAGGTGACTTAGTTTCATGCTTTGGTATAGTATTATTTATAACTTAAGTATTTTTCTATGTATTTCTTACAATTATTTTTAAAAATGTTTTTTTCACAATAACAAATATATATAAACACAAGGGAAAAGCGTTGTTTATAAATCCTCCCACTACTACTACTAACCCCATATCTTTTTTTTTTTTTTTTTCAGACCAGAGTCTCACTCTGTCGCCCGGGCTAGAGTGCCATGGTGTCAGCTAGCTCACATCAACCTCCAACTCCTGGGATCAAGCGATCCTACTGCCTCAGCCTCCCAAGTAGCTGGACCGCAGGCATGCGCCATGATCCCCGGCTAATTTTTTTCTATATACATTAGTTGTCCAATTAATTTCTTGCTATTTTAGTTAGAGACGGGTCTCGCCTTGCTCAGGCTGGTTTCAAACTCCTAACCTTGAGCAATCCGTCGCCTCGGCCTCTGAGAGTGCTAGGATTACAGACGTGAGCCACCACGCCCGGCCCTACTACTGCCTTTTATTGTCATCTTTCTAGATATTTTTCTGTGCATACATATCAAAATGATATATATGATTAACACACATTTTTACAAATATAAAGTTTTTAAAACCATGGCTTTTTCACTTAGCTTTATTCTTGACATCTTTACATGTCAATTTATATTGACAAACATCAGTATTTTTTTTATTTGGCAATTAATTTCTTTCTATTTTAGTAAGAGACGGAGTCCTGCTCTTGCTAGGCAGGCTGGTTTCAAGCTCCTACCTTGAGCAATCCTCCGGCCTCGGTCTCCCAGAGTGCTAGGATTACAGGCCTGAGCCACCTCGCCGCGACATCAATATTTTAATGCCTGCATAAACACGTTCTACCATAAAGATGTTCTATAATTATGGAAATTACCCTGTGTTAAAACAAAGTGCCTTGCTAAAGGTTTATATCAGTTTTCACTGCTTCAGTGGGATATGAGTATTCATTTCCCACACCCTACAGTAGTGATAGCCATTATATTGCTTTTATGTTTGACAACCTGACAGTAAATATGTTATAGTTAGTTAAGTTGCATTTGAAAAATTACTAGTGGATTTTTTTTTCTTTATTTGAGACAGAGTCTTACTCTGTTGCCGGGCTAGAGTTCCTTGGCGTCAGCATAGCTCACAGCAACCTCAAACTCCTAGGCTCAAGCGATCCTTCCTCTCAGCCTCCCAAGTAGCTGGACTACCATATTTTTTAGTTGGCAATTAATCTTCTATTTTTAGTAGAGATGGGGTCTCACTTTTGCTCAAGCTGGTTTCGAACTCCTGACGTTGAGCGATCCGCCACCTCGGCCTCCCAGAGTGCTAGGATTATAGGCGTGAGCCACTGCACCCGCCTAGTGGATTTTTTAAATATGTTTACTGGCTATTTTTCTTTGTGAATGTCTTCATATCCTTTACCTGTTTTTCTCTTGGCATACATGTGATTTTTCTTTCTTATTTGTAATTACTCTTCAATATGTTAAGTCTGTTATTCTGTTTTGTTTGTTCCCTTTAGGTTTCTAGACTTTCTAGGTTTAAAGACCTATTTTATTAGAAATATGTTTATCAGTTTACCTTTTTTTTTGGCTTTTTCCTCCCTTTTGGAATCACGCCTATTAGAACCATCTTCCTACCTATAAAGTATATTAGCAATCATTTTTAATGTCCATATAATATTCCATATATATTTACTTTAACCTTTAACTTTTTAAATATTGAATTAACTTACTTATAAACAAGAAATTAAATTAATGGCATTTTTAATAAGTACGCACAGTGCCAAATAATTTGTGACTCCTTGGTAAATATCAAATATCTGTAGTACCATGTGTAAAACTTATGGCATTCCTTTCAGGGAACTGGGTATGGAGGAGAGAGAACAATACAGTCATTGATCTACATTTTTTCACAACAGTTTTGGAAAACATAGTCAGAAAGAAGGTTCTACATGCCAGTGTATGAATTTGCCAGGTGCATATAGTTCCCTCTCGTGCAGATCTCATGTTTGTTTTTTAATTAGTGCTGCTCTGCCTTTGCTTAGTCCTGTTCACAGCAGAAGGGAGGCAGCTTGCTAATTTGAAATGTGTAGATCATGTTAAACACACCATAGTTTCTAATTTTCCCTCTTCCTTCCCCCTACCAAATTGCCAACAATTAATATACTCTGTTTAGTAAGATTTTTGGTAATCTGACCTTTGGAGCATGTCTCTTACCTGGAATGCCATGGATGGACTTCACCAGTTTCACTGGATCTGTGGGCCAGGCAGTATGCTGTGTGTATGTGTATTGTTTCTGGGAAGAGTGTTCACCAACTTTCATCAGGTTCTCCAAGGGAGTACATGACTACATGCCAGGAACCCAGAATAATAAGACAGTGTCTTGAATGGCAGAGCAAAGTGTTTCCTATAGTAAGAGTTATGGAATCACTTATAGGTCAGAACCTGGTGACCTAGCATTGGTTATTAAATTATGTTTTTGGCTAATCTGTGTTTGTGTTACCATGATAACAATAAGATACTATTTTTCTAAGCACCAGCCATAAAAGTTTTGTAAATAGCTTAAGTAAGGGGTGTAATTACTGAAGCCAACATACTGAAATTGGATTGTTGTAAGAAGCAAATCAGAAAAGAAAATAGTAAAAAGTATTTAGTTTCTAGAACTAGTATGTATTTGGGAATAAAAACTCTGACTCGAATGGCAAGATTCATAACGATACCACACAATCGTGGTGAAAAAAATACATTGGGTTCAGGTTCATCTATGTATTCAGATTATAATTTTGGCTCTTTTACACATACAACTGTGTTTCTCAACGTGGACCTTGGTAAAGATTGATATTGATGGTTTTGATTTTTGGTTTGTAAGTGAATGGATGGTTGCTGTCATCATAGAAGGCATTTCTTGAGTACAGAGACTACGCTTTCACTGGATTCTAAGCTATGGCTCTAAACATATTTACATAAGCATGTCTATATAAGTAAATATTTATATATATATATTTGTGTCCTTTCCATGTGATTTATAGTCTGTTTTACTAATTCTAGACAGTTTATAATTATATTTATTCTTTTGATTTCTTTACCCATTGATTATGTTCCTTCTAATAAAGAAAAGAGGCAACTACAAAAAGGGAAAACAGGTGGGGTGTGTGCTCACACTGTAATCTTAGCATTCCGGGAGATCAGACGCAGGAGGATTGCTTGAGGCAGGAGTTCAAGACCAGCCTGAGCAAGAGTGAGACCCCCATCTCTACTAAAATGTGGAGAAAATTAGCTGGCCAATAAAAACAGAAACAAAAAATTAGCTGGTGTGGTGGGCGAGCACCTGTAGTCCAGCTCTCCGGGAGGG